TGGAGAAGTGGGATGGGAGGAGGTGCGGCGCTAGGGCTGCAGCCTGAAAGGATCTGTCTCCTTCCCTCCTCCCATGACTTTCCTCCCTGCTTCCGGCGGCCACACCAAGAGCAGCCCTGCTCTGCAACGCTTCTGTGCCATGATGCCAGCCATGGAGCCAGGTGGGACTGAAACTTCTACAAACTGTGAGCAACTGAACCTTTCCTCCTTAGAACTGTGTGTCGGGTCCTGTGTCTCAGAAACAAGAAAGTAACTAAGACACTGGCATCCTGTGAAATGGGCAACCCTAGGATCACAGTGACTCCAAAATGGGAAAAGATGTGATCGCAGCACTAAACCATCAGAGGTGAGGAGGAGGCAACTGCCAAGGTAAGCAGTAATGCCAGCCGGAAGTTTCCCCAATCCACAAGGCTCATGGCATTTCCAAAGGTGAGAGAGATGGTCAAGGCAGTTAGATCGTTGCTAAAACTGCAGAAGAAAAGAGAAGGTTGGAGGAGGGAGAGGAACAGAGAAAACACACACTGATGGCCATTACCACAGCTGAAATTCAAGTCCATCATTGTAATCAAGAAGTAATCAGTTCATGACCCATGCCCAAAAGGGCCTTTGCTGTAGAACTGTTTAATGGGTAAGGAAAACAGATTATTCAGATTTTCACAGACAGCTGGATAGCTTTAAATGTACAAATAAACTTAACAGGGGAAAAAAAACTATCAGAAAAGTAGTTGGAAAATCTCCAGAGATATGAATCTTAAAAATGGTAATAAAATATTTGTGAGTCAAAGAAGAAATGACAATGGAAATTTTAATTCAGTTTTTTAAATTAACACAATTCAAATTGGGTGGTGAGAAAAGTAATACTTCAAAAAGATTTAAAAAGTCAAGGACCCAAGTTTCTTGCCCTAAGACATTTGAAAAAGAAGCTCAAATTAAGCCTCAAAACGAGAATCAAAATGCTGAAGATATAGGGAAGGGTGAAAGGGGTTAGCGGGGGCAGGGGTATGGGGAAAAAACAAGAACCAAGATACATCATGTAAAGGTACAAGATCCCAGTGACAAATATAACTATTGTTTGCTTTAAATGTACCAGTAACCTTAATGGGAAAAAAATGCTGAAGATAGCAACAGAATCATTAACATAAAAAAGAAACAAAGTTAATGAACTAAAAGGTAGTTATTTAAAAAAATAGATATAACTATTCATATTCATCATAAAGAGAGAGAAAAACAAAATACTAAAAACAAGAGACATGCCCTACAGATACTACAGATATTAAAATGATAAAGGTATATTAATAACACTTGCCAATCAGTTTGACAGCTTAAATTTCTTTTTTATTTTTTTCTCACTGAGTTTACTGGTACTTTTTAGGAACACAGTACATTTACATTCATCACTGGGATCTTGTACCTTTACATGACAGGTCTTGGTTCTCATTTTTTCCCCTAACCCCAGCCCTCCCTTCACCCTCTCCTCCCTTCCCTATTTACAAAATTTTTTTTCTATTTGTTCGAGTGGGAAGGGTAGGGGAAAGGGCAGCTTAAATTTCTTTATAATTTATTGAAAGATACAAGCTAGTAAAACTCAAGAACAGATAATGTGAATTGCTTCTATTTAAAATTCTAATTTAGAGATAAAATCTTTTCCCACAAAGAAAAGTCCAGGTTCTGACAGCTTCACTGGTAAGTTCAACAAAATATTTAAGGAAGAAGTAATACTAATACTACACAGATTCTTCCAGAAAACACAAGAGAAAGGAGCACTTCCAACTGAGCCTAGGATAACTATATATGAAAACTAGACAAAGACACTGAAAGTACAGTCCAGGATACTTCATGAATGTAAATACAAAAATTCTTAAAATTTTTAGCAATTCATGTTCAACAACACATAAGGATAGGGTCGGGGATTTAGCTCAGTGTTTCCGCCGCCTGCCTTGTAAGCGCAAGGACCCGAGTTCGATCCTCAATACCAAAAAATAAAATAAATAAATAAATAAATAAATAAGGATAATACATTATGATCAAGTGAGGTTTATCCCAAGAAAACAAGATTAAGAATCTTAAACTCGAAGGGCTAGGTATTTAGCTCAGTGGTTCTGCAACCTGCCTTGCAAGTACAAGGACCCGAGTTCAATCCCTGGTACCAAAAAAAAAAAAAAAAAAAAAAAAAACTCATCACCGTTGGACTGGGGGTATAGCTCAGGAATAGAGTTCATGTTTTGCATTCACAAAAGCATGGGTTCAATCCTCAGAACAAAAACAAACAAACAAAAAATCATTATCATAATTCACTATTTAACAAACTAATTAAAAAAGAAAAACCATATAGATAAATGTAGAAAATCATGTCACAAAAGTCAACAACCACTCATGATAAAAACCGTGGTCTAAAGCCAGGCATGGTGGCTGGTGAGGTCCAGAGTGGTGCTGCTGCAGGTAGATCCCAGTCAGGGCTCCATCCCAACCCCAAAGGCTTGGGCACACCCACCCAGCCAACAGCCCCTCCAGAAAAGAGCTACACAGGTGCACAAGCTTCAGCCAGAGGACCACCCCATAGCATCGGCAACAGCCAAGGGCCTGCCCGGAAAAGAGCTACAAAGGCACATAAGCAATAGCTAGAGGCTTGCCCAATACCATTGATAAGTGAGCAGAGACCCTAGCCAGACGTCTGTTCAGACAACAGGAACTGGCGAACACAACCCCCAGCTAAAGGCCCTCCCAGACAACAGGTACATAAAGGCCTGAACAAGAGGAACAACTAGATACCATCCCAAGTGTGCACAGGCCCCAACCAGTAGTCTACCCAGTGGGTTTTTTATACAATGGAGTACTACTCTGCCATAAAGGATAAACCCAAGATATTTCTAAGTAAATGGATACACTTTGAGACCATATTCTCAAAAGGAATTAATTGGACACACATGTTTAAATATCTCACTGTTTCTCCTGTGTGAGAAACCAAAAGGGTAAATAAGGACCAAAATGTCTCACAGATAATGGGAAGTAGGAAAAAAATGTTCACATGGAAAGGAGAACAAGGGAGAAGAGAAAGGGAAAGGAAAGAAGGGAAAAGAAAAACAGAATAGAAGGAAAAATGGAAACAAAGCTTTTGAAGATAAAGAGGGAAAGAATGTCTGAAGGGAGGTGATGGAAATGGGAAAAAAGAAAGCTATATCATGTACAGGTACAAAGTCCCTATAATGACTGTGATTATTACGTACATCTAAAATGTACCAATAAAATTAATTTTTTCTTTTTGGTACCGGGGAACTCAGGTCCTTTTGCTTGTGAGGCAGGTGGTGTAATAAAATTAATTTTTAAAAAGAAAATTGATAAAATTTTGGACTCCAAAAAATAAAATGTACCAATAAAATTAATTCTTTAAAATCTTAAAAACATCCTTGGCGATACAAACAACAACAAAACAATAAATGCTGAATATGGTGAGGGATGACTGTACACCACTGGAGGAAATATAAAATGTAAATTAGCACAGCCATTATAGAAACCGGCAAGAAGGTTTCTCAAAAAACTGGATCTCGAACTGGCATCTGACCCAGTTTTACCACACTTGGTATACGTCTGAGAGGATCACTCCGCATACTATCGGGATACCTGCACACCTGTGTTTATTATGGCACAGTTCACAACAGCCAAGACACGGAACCAACGCGGGGGCCCACCGACAGGTGAGGGGTGGAGATAAAGCGGTTGATAGGGAATGTGTGCACACACAATCGAGTATTATTCAGCCGTAAAGAATAATGAAATTTTGTCATCTGCAAGAAAGTGGATGGAACTGGAGATCATCATAACCCAAACTCAGGAGGACAAATGTCACATGTTCTTCCTAATATGTACGATCTATCAAAGGTGACATGAAAGTAAAAGGGAGGCAGTTATTAGACAAGAAGAAGAACATAAAAAGGAAGATGTATGAGAAAGGGTAATGGGATGATGGCTGTGACTAAATACGCACTGGAACTCAGTATTTTATAAAATTAATAGGCACTAAGAAAAATATTTCAGGTTTAGGAGCAATTCAGATTTAGATTTTTAGATTAGGGATGTTCAACTGGTAAAGTCTATGAAAATATTTTAAAATTTGAAAAGCTTGAAAATCTAAAATACTTCTGGTTCCAAACATTTCAGATAAGGAATCCTTGACCTTTATTAATAAGCATATGGGGATGCCCGAAAGAGACAAGTCAACAGTGGGGGTGGACGCAGGACTCCAGGAGGCTGAGACAGGAGCACTGCAGGTTCGAGGCCAACCTGGGCAACTTAGCAATTCAGTAGGATGCTGTCTCAAAAACTAAAAATAAAAAAGGGCTGTGGATGTATCTAAGTGCAAAGGCCCTGGAGAAAATGAAAACAAAAAAGGAATAGAGATACCTGTAGATATGAAATAAAAATGAGTTTCTAGATGGCAGGCAGTAGAGAATGAGTAGAAGGGGCCGGCAAAAACCACCACATTTCTTTGCCAGAGTACTGGTGGGAACGTTAAAGGGCTGGCCATGTGGGTGACAGGCAGAACTCGTAGCTTGTATTTATTTATTATTGGTGTGAGAGTGTGTGTGAGTGTGTGTGTGTGTGTGTGTGTGTGTGTGTAGCAATGGGGATCAAATCCAGGGCCTCAGGCATGCTAAGCAAGTACTACTACCACTGAGCCCCCTCCTCTGTCCTGTAAGTTTTATTTCTGAGCTTTCTCCCATCTTTCTGCATCCTCCTTACCATCACTTCCTAGCACCTGCAGCATAAGCAAATACCAAGGAAATGAGAAAGGGGAATCGAAAGGAGACGACTGGTAAACTTCACGGCCAGCGCAAAAGCTAGCAATGGCGTACCCAACCTTCTTGGGGACCCTAACCTCTCTGCCAAGAGTGAAAAGCAGAGATAGGCAGCTGTCATGCAGCGAAGGGCAACACCAGGCAGAACAGCAGAGACCTTGGAGATGGCCAGCCTAGCACTCTTTGGCCAGACTTCGCTTCGCTTACCTTTTCCTGTAGCCTAATGTTTTCCCACACCTTGTTGCACACCATACACTCAAACGCATCAATGTAGTTGTCCTGGTTGATGTCTTGCACTCCCCATTTCCGCTCCCTGAGAGCTGTCAGGAGTCTCTGGTTAGAGATCTCACCCTTCAGCTTCCATTCTATGTAGGCCTCGTACAATCTGTCATCATAGTCCAATTGTTTAATGTAATTTGCCAGTTGTCTGGGGTGAGTGAATTCTGATACAAGAATAGCACTTCTGTTACTTGGAAGCCAATCCATGATGCTGGGGGACCCATAATACACAGGAACTACTCCGAGTTTCAGTGGTCTCCAGAACTTCTCTGTGATGTAGTCATCACAAACTGCATTCTCAAAAGCAAGGATAAACTTATACTGGGCCATGATCCTATAAAAGTCATCGGCATCCATAGAAGCTGGATTCTTCAGCTGCTGAGGAAGATCTTTGTTACGTAAACACTCACCATAGGAATCCACCTCAATGTAAGTCATTAGCTCACGGACATAGCTGTCCCTATCTGATGGCGGGTCACAGTCTGACTGTACATACACCAGCGGAGCAAGTCTTTTTCTTAGGTTGTTTTTGGAGTGCAAAGGAACTACATATCGGAGTGACTTCAGGGCATCTACACCCTCCAGGTACTGCGTAGTTAGTGGCAAGTGGGAATGCCTGCTGAATGTGGCCGTGTAGTTGAACAAAGTGAGGACTGGCTTATGAATGAGCTTATAATTGTTTTTTGGAGACTCTTCATGGAATAGGGCCCAGTCATGATGGGCTTTCCGAGGCAGAGGTAAGCTATCTATGTTAAAGTCGGTACCTGGGAAAAGAAAATAAAGTATTAGTTATGTCCGAAAGAATTGAAGATTAGAATACAGAGAAGTCTGAGGCTATAAATAAAAAACATCAGTCTCAGTGCAAAGTGGCTGGCAGCCGATCATTGCCTTTCATCCTAAAAGCTGCCCCAACAGAGGATCACCAAGTAGGAAGGCAACCTTCCCCATTTTACTAAAAAAAAAAAAAAAAAAAAAAAAAAAGG